CTTCCTTCCTTCCTTCCTTCCTTCCTTCCTTCCCTTTCCCTTCTTCCTTCACTCCTTCCCTTCCTCCCTCCCTCCCATGGTTAGAATGCAGTATTGCAGGCAGACTGCCCACAGTCAGGAGTTCGATCCTGACTGGCTCAAGGTTGATTCAGCCTTCCGTCTTTCCGAGGTGGATAAAATGAGGACCCAGATTGTTGGGGGCAAGAGGCTGACTCTATAAAGTGCTGAGAGAGGGCTGTAAAGGGGTATATGTCTAAGAGGTATTGCTAGCTTCCTTCCTCCCTCCCTCCCATGGTTAGAGTGCAGTATTGCAGGCTGACTCTGCCCCACATCCAGGAGTTCGATCCTGACTGGCTCAAGGTTGACTCAGCCTTCCGTCTTTCCGAGGTTGGTAAAACGAGGACCCAGATTTTTGGGGACAATAGGCTGACTGTCTCCCTTAGAAACAAAAATTTTGGACTCCCTGTAAGCGTTAATTTCTTACCGGGTTGCACTTTCACTTCAGATAAAGCATTCAAACAAGCCTTTTTTCGCTCTTCGCCTTTGGGATAAGGCCTATGGGTGGGGGAAAAAAAACACATATTGGGGGTATTTGAATCATGAATTCTGACCCGTGAGGCAAGTTGGGTTTTGTTTATAAAGTCCATTTCAATCTCTTCTTTTAAAGACCCCGTAATCCTTTGCGGGATGGAGGCAACTGAATGGAGCTGTGTTTACTGACCGGATGCCCTTCCCTGTCACCAGGGCAGAGTTTTGTTCAGCAGATATAACCTCATTGTGGCCAGAGAGGGAAATATCTGCCTCTACCTGGGATCGAACTCACAGCCTCCTGATTGTGAGGTCCCTTTCAACACAAGGAAAAAATCAGGTTTATCTATGCCTCGGCCTTTCTACTCACTTGATGATGGCGGAAACGTTGGTGATTTTGTTGAAGAAGTCAAATTCCCGTTGGTAAAACTCCTTTGCTGGGCCAGACAACGAGCCGGTTATTTCCTCGACGAGCTGCTCCAGCAGTTCCCCAATGTCAGCTACGGAAAAGAGGAAGCAGGAGGGTGAAATCTGTGGGGTCCTTGGTGCTCTCTGAGCTTGAGAGTTTTCTGGTGGACATTTCATGGTTCAGCTAGGTAGCATCATCAGTGCTAGAGGGAAGAGGGCTTTATGGAGTGTAAGAGCCGAGGTGGCGCAGTGGTTAGGGTGCAGTACTGCAGGCCACTTCAGCTGACTG